TATTATTATTATTATTATTATTATTATTATTAGAAGGCTAAGTTTTATAAAGTTTTGTTTTGAATTGAAACTTACTTGGAAAGTAATTTTGTTTCATCTGTGAATATATATATTTATAAGCAGTGTGATTATAAGAAAACTTGGTTTTAAGCATCAATATTGAGCAATATACAGATTTAGAATATAATAAATTATAAATAAGACTATCTTTCTACATGATATATCCCACGTTAAACATTTCTTCAAAACAGCAGTATTTGCCTGGTTCTTTGTTTTCACCTCTTAGGTACCGTTGGGCGAGACTGTACAGTACTTCCCAAACCACTGTCGACAGCGGTGAGGTAAAAACCTTCTTGGCCCTGGCTCACAAATGGTGGGATGAGCAAGGAATATATGCACCTCTTCATTCCATGAATGACCTGAGGGTGCCATTTATTAGGTAACATTCCAGAAACTCTAAGTCTTTTTAAATGGAACTTTTAAAGAATTCATATTTCACATTTCTTTTTCTCTTAGTTTATACCTAGTTAAAAATGCTGCACATTAAGTTTGCTTTGGAAATTAGGGAGATTCTTTTCAGTTACCGCTGTTTGAAACCATTAATTTTTAATAATATCATGCAAGGTCTAGGCTGCTTTCATAGCTTAAGTTGAAGCCTATTTGTACATTATCAAGTTAATTACAATTAAGTTCTTATAAAAGTAAACTAGGGTCTTATGGCATCAAGGCCATTTTATTTTATTTTATTATTTTATTTATTTATTTATTTATTTATTTATTTATTTTTAAGATGGACTCTCGCTTGTGTCACCCAGGCAGGAGTGCGATGTCACGATCTTGGCTCACTGCAACCTCCACCTCCTGGATTCAAGCGATTCTCCTGCCTCAGCCTCCTGAGTAGCTGGGATTACAGGCATCTGCTACCATGCCCAGCTAATTTTTGTATTTTTCGTAGAGACAGGGTTTCACCATGTTGGCCAGGCTGATCTCAAGCTCCTGACCTCAGGTGATCCACCCGCCTCAGCCTTCCAAAGTGCTAGGATTACAGGCATGAGACACTATGCCTGGCACAAGGCCATTTTATAACTACAGACCTACTGTGGCTAAACTGACTTAGGCAGTTCTGGTAAAGTTTGATTCAACAATTTTTTTTGAGAACTTACCTCATACAGAGCTCAGGGACTAGACTGTAAAAGACTCTAAGATGAATGAAACATAATCTATGTGCTTCAGGAACTTATAGGTTGCTGTGGGAGTTAAGAAAAGGCAAGAGTTCATCAGGGCTTACATTTAAGAAATTGTTCATTTGTTCTTCTGTCCATTTATGTATTCATCAAACAATTTTGGGCAAAGCACTGTAACAGACACAGAATATCTGACTCAGACTTTGCCCTCAAGGAACTTCCTGGTTGGTTTTTGTTGGTTCATCCAGAATCAATGTAGCAAAAAGAGAAACACTGGCGTCCTTTAATACCACTGACTTTGTGGATCACTGCAACAAATCGTAAAGCAAAGAAAAACAGAAATGTCATTTTTGTAAGCTAGAACACTGGTTCTCAAAGTGTAGGCCCTGGACAGTGACATTAGTTCCCCTAGGAACTCATTAGAAATGCAAATTATCATGTGTCATCAGGGACCTACTGCTCTGTGGAGGGGTCAGAACTCCATTTTAAGCAAACTTTTTACATGATTCTGATGTATACCAAGTTTGAGAATTACTCTATTCAAACTGCTGAGACACCTTTAACTAGACATCACACATAATAACCCAGGGCAGTGCAAGCTATGGTTAAAAGTTTAGATTTTATTTTGAGTATAATTAGAACCCATCAAAGGAAAGTGGTATGATCTAAATTATGATGTAAAGGAGTCATTTTAGCTGCTGTTTAAAGAATGGAACGGACTTCATTTGAAATGGGTCTTTTCTGTATAACTTTCCAGAATGCTCTACTTAACCACTATCCATGTTATTCTTCGAATTCAATTAATTTTAATGGTAATAGAAGATACCTTAAGATATCCTCATTATGAATAATGCTTATTTTAATATAAGTATAATTAAAATTTATGCATAATCCTCTCTCTATATATATGTTTAGTTTACAATACTGTTAGGTGTATATATACTTGTGTGTATATGTATGTATACCTATGTTTGTATAGGTAAAGTATTACTGTGATTATCTTAGAAGTAAGTTTACTTGATTTAGATGCCGGTTTACATGCTCATACATGAAAACACCACTCACCGAGAAAATTAAAAGACATTTTATTTCAAAGGGAATATAGACAAATTCTGAAAATTAGGTCTCCCATCTGCTTTTTCTAAGCTCTGTAAAATAACCTATTTGCTGCTGACATGAAATGGGTCTAGCACGTATTGACAGCAAAGTCAAAACATGCATCATGATATCTCAAGCAATTGAAATTAGGTTAATCTAGATTATTTCAAAAATTTTTCCTTATATTATTACTAAAACAGTAATTAAGTCATAATTACTACTAGATTATTTCAGACCTTTAAGCCTCCTGCTTCTTATTATTGAAAATGTTTTATAAATTAAATGTCGCTTAATGTTGAAAGATCTAGTTGTCAAAAATATAAATAATGTATTTAAATGGAGGTTAATAGTTCCTTGAAACTGCATACCTTTTTGACTTTTCATTGATAAAATTAATTATTTGTTTTGGTGTGTTTTGAATTTTTTAAAAAAGAGACAATCTTCTGAAAACAATTCCTAATCACCAGCCAGGAAAACCTTTGTTTGGGATGAAGATTCTTGACGTTGGCTGTGGTGGTGGGCTGTTAACTGAAGTAAGTGATAGCTTTCCTGCCATTTTTAACTGGGGGAAAAAAATTAAGAAGTAGACTTCTGCCTCATTTATTCTTTCAACAAATAATATTATTCATTAAAAAAAGAAATGCATGTTGGGAGGCCGGGGTGGGTGGATCACCTGAGGTCAGGAGTTCGAGAACAGCCTGGCCAACATGGCGAAACCCTGTCTCTACTAAAAATACAAAGATTAGCTGGGCGTGGTAGCGGGCACCTGTAATCCCAGCTACTCAGGAGGCTGAGGCAGCAGAATCGCTTGAACCCGGGAGGCAGAGGTTGCAGTGAGCTGAGATCGCGCCACTGCACTCTAGCCTGGGCAACAAAGAGAGACTCTGTCAAAAAA